AACAACGCCAAATGCTGAAAATGGAATTAATAATTATTCGACTATATGCTGTCATTCATTTGTGGACATCTATAATAACTAATTGTTCGAACTGAAGCAGATCCATGTTTCGCTACTACTCATATTTTGTTCACTCTTGGTTTAATGTTCGCTGAATAACTAATGAATGTGCGACATTATCGGTTATGGTGAAATGAATAAAAGCCATGAAGACAAGATCAAAGTTATAATGAAGAATCAGAAGACGTCACCTGAATTCCTCCAATTTCGAGACCCATTCGAACATCAAAATTACTTGCACTCTAAAATTGCTGGCTACATCACGACCCTCAGCCGGTTTCCTCAGTTGATCCTCCAACTCATCACATAGCATCTCCTCAACACTCGTACAAAGCATCGTTCGCCTTCGACTGCGCTGAAACGATGACAAAACATAAACCGATGAGCGACTGAATGAATTATTTTGTGATCCGTGAACAAGTGTTACAGACGAATTCTTAAATCAGATATCCATAAAAATATCCACCTGCAATTTATAATCTATGGCAAGTCGCGCTATCACATTCTGGCACGTCTGATATTCATAAGTTGAACTCATCGGCGACATTTGTTCATCTTTAATGTTCTGAAACCATTCATCACTTTTTACATCACCGAGCCATTTTAGTGAAAAAACATTGATGTGTGCGCTAACATTTCTTCCAAGAAACCTTTTTAATTTCAATAAGATATCTTGCTGACGATCCGTGGATTCATTAAAGTGGTTGATAAAAAATATTCAAGAGACCGAGAAAAGCCTTCTTCATTCTTCTTCTTGTTCATGCAAAAGTCTTATTGCCTTTTCAACGAACGAATTTTCACTTTTACAGAACTCAATTATCGTATCTATTACTGCAGCTGTCAACAATAAGCTATCGAGAGAGCCCTCACGAGGTAGGTTCACCATCGTTTCTTCAAAATCAAGAAAACACCCAACACCATGTTCGTGAAGAAACAGGCAAAGATGCGATGATGAGGTGCTAAATCAAACCGTAATTTGGAAAGCAGACAGAGGTGACGCAAGTGAGAAGTCAGCTGTTGACGGCGATGGCTGAGCGGACGATTTTGCGGAATCCAAATAACTGCACTCAGATTCTGTTTTGCAACGACTCATGTCATTATTTAGATCATTGCGAATCTTATTGTTGTTACGTTTCGGTTGAACGGCTGAAGTATTCATTGAAAATCAGTAAATTGAAATTTTCATCTGCAAGTGAGCCTTTAGAATATTGATGCTGGGAGACCTAGATTCAGCGTAAACATGCTACGGAGCAAATATTGCACATGGAAGCGTTCATAATAAAGCAGGAAGGAAGATTATGTGAAAGAATCATCCGAATGTAAACTGTGTAATGATAAGATGGATAAACGAATGAATGATTAAGAGTTATAAGAGATTAACAAAAACCTCGTCGATCCATACCAACTTTCTCGCATTTTTTCAACCGGCATGCACGACACGCACATCTCGCATCTATAATTGAAATGTCAACTACAAAATATAACGTAAAGGAATTAATTCCGTAGAATACCTTTCAAACACCTCATTATCACTGATGTATCTCCAAGACTGAACGCATAAAACTGAATAACAGTTACAAGTTCGTATTGTTTATCAAGTGTATAAATTTCTAAGATACGGGATGAGCAGCACCGTATTAAGACTAACTTTTGTCCACACGACAGTTGCCATCTCGTCGGCAGGTGAACGCAAGACCGTAGGTAATGGCACGTCGGAAGAATGCATTACATCCTCGACACGACAGCACTCCGTAATGGTATCCATCTGCTACGTCACC